AGGTTTTTAAAAACCCAGACCTAAGTGCACGTGAAAGTAAGGGGAATCCCCAGAAGGCGGGAGTAAAAAAGGAAACATAGATTAGCAGTCTGCTCAATGATTTCTTCGTCAGGAGGGCCGTTTGTTGGGCTCTCTAACCACGACTTGGGTTTTGATGTCCAGCTGTGGAGTCGGGTATGAGGTCCTCATATGGAGCTGGGGTTTTCAAGCTCTGCATCCTGGGTGAAAGGACAGACTTGGGAGAAATCTGCCCACTGGAACAGACCAGGATGAGCATCTCTTTTCACCTTGTCTCTCAATAGGGAAAGGGCTCCCCTGGGAACTTGCCGCAGGGCTTCCCCTCTCGGGTTTGAATTCATACCACCTTCAGGATCTGGGAACTCAGGCCCAAAAGGTCACATAAAGAGTAGTCCAGGGTTGGGGTACTCTCAGGAGTGTCTGGTAGAAGCTGACAGTTCTAGCCAGTGAAACACATCAACCCACAGACCAAGCCTCATCGAAATGAGCTCACAACCTAAAATTACAAAACCCAAAGGGAGTAGTTCAACCATGGACAACAGTCAGCAGAATAATAGAGACAAGGATTGTACTTCCACCCAAGGAACTGAGGTCAGAGAGGAGAGTTTAACGCACATGTATGAGAGATCACTAAGGAAATTAAGGAAGAATTGAATAAGTAACAAAAGAACAAGACAAGATGAATTTTCGAAAGAACCACATAAAACTCAGACATGCAGAGTGAAGTTGTTAAAATTAAAAATTCAGTGGGGAAGACAAAAAACATGTTAGAATAACAGAAAGCATTGCTAGCAAACTGGAAGACAGCTCTGAGGAAGCTATCCCAAAGCAGACCAGCCAGAAGAGGAGATGGAAGTAGAGGTTCTGGAGGAGAGGGGCTGCAATGATGCCGTGAGCCCCTCTCCTCTGCCCCGGGGATGTGCCCAGCCCCAGCTGCCAGAGGAGTGGTCTGCTGACGGCTCCCAGCTGCATCCTTCTGCAGAGTGCTGTCCTTGGGCAAAAGGAGTCGCCTCACCTGAAAGTGCTTGGGAGGTCACCCTCTTCCCCCAAGAGGGGACACCCCCCCAAAAGGCCAATGTCTGATTGATAGTGGTAGAAAAGGCCAGCTCCCCCTGAGTTCCCCATGGAATTGGGCTGAGCTGAGGCTTGAGCCTGAATCACAAGTCTGCCAAGTTTCTCCCCTGCCCCACCGAGCTGCCCCCAGAGCAGTTCCCCAGTGAATTGTTTGCATGAGCAGCCTGACTCCAGCTTTTCTAGGGTACCTGATCCACTGCAAGGCACTCCAGCAGCAGAGAGTGGAGAAGGGGCAGGATTCCCCCAGAGGAGTTGTAAGAAGTGATGAAGGAAGAGGATCCTCAGGTTCAGGAAGTCCTCCAAGTCCCAAGGATGGGAAATAACAGCAATTACACGCTTTTCATACTGTGGTGGTATTGCTCAATGCCAATGTGAAAGATCACAACAAACTGGAAAATTCTTCAAGAGATGGGAATACCAGACCACCTGACCTGCCTCCTGAGAAATCTGTATGCAGGTCAAGAAGCAACAGTTAGAACTGGATATAGAACAACAGACTGCTTCGAAATACAGAAAGGAGTACGTCAGTTCAGTTCAGTTGCTTAATCATGTCTAACCCTTTGCGATCCCACGGACTACAGCACGCCAGGCCTCCCTGTCCATCAACTTACTCAAAGTCATGTCCACTGAGTCGATGATGCCATCCAACCATCTCATCCTCTGTCATCTCCTTCTCTTCCCGCCTTCAATCTTTCCCAGCATCAGGGTCTTTTCAAATGAGTCAGCTCTTCCCGTGAGGTGGCCAAAGTATTGGAGTTTCAGCTTCAGCTTCAATCCTTCCAATGGACACTCAGGACTGATCTCCTTTAGGATGGACTGGTTAGATCTCCTTACAGTCCAAGGGACTCTCAAGAGTCTTCTCCAACACCACAGTTCAAAAGCATCAATTCTTCTGTGCTCAGCTTTCTTTATAGCCCAACTCTCACATCCATACATGACCACTGGAAAAACCATAGCCTTGACCAGACAGACCTTTGTTAGCAAAGTAATGTCTCTGCTTTTTAATGTGCTGTCTAGGTTGGTCATAGCTCTTCTTCCAAGGAGCAAGCATCTTTTAATTTCATGGCTGCCATCACCATCTGCAGTGATTTTGGAGTCCAAAAAAATAAAGTTTGTCACTGTTTCCATTGTTTCCCCATCTATTTGCCAGGAAGTTATGGGACCAGATGCCATGATCTTAGTTTTCTGAATGTTGAGCATATTGTCACCCTGCTTATTTAACTTATATGCAGAGTACATCATGAGAAATGCTGGGCTGGATGAAGCACAAGCTGGAATGAAGATTGCTGGGAGAAATATCAGTAACCTCAGATACGCAGATGACACTACCCTTATGGCAGAAAGCAAAGAACTAAAGAGCCTCTTGATGAAGGTGAAAGAGGGGAGTGGAAAAGTTAGCTTAAACTCAACATCCAAAAAACTAAGATCATGGCATCTGGTCCCATCGCTTCATGGCAAATAGATGGGGAAACAATGGAAACAGTGACAGACTTTGTTTTTTGGGGGCTCCAAAATCACTGCAGATGGTGACTGCAGCCATGAAATTAAAAGATGCTTGCTCCTTGGAAGAAGAGCTATGACCAACCTAGACAGCATATTAAAAAGCAGAGACATTACTTTGCCAACAAAAGTCTGTCTAGTCAAGGCTATGGTTTTTCCAGTAGTCATGTATGGATGTGAGAGTTGGACTATAAAGAAAGCTGAGCGCAGAAGAATTGATACTTTTGAACTGTGGTGGTAGAGAAGACTCTTGAGAGTCCCTTGGACTGCAAGGAGATCCAACCAGTCAATCCTAAAGGAAATCAGTCCTGAATATTCATTGGAAGGACTAATGCTGAAGCTGAAACTCCAATACTTTGGCCACCTGATGTGAAGAGCTGACTCATTTGAAAAGACCCTGATGCTGGGCAAGATTGAAGGCAGGAGGAGAAGGGGACGACAGAGGATGAGATGGTTGGATGGCATCACTGACTTGATGGACATGAGTTTGGGCACGCTCTGGGAGTTGGACAGGGAGGCTTGGTGTGCTGCAGTCCATGGGGTCACGAAGAATCAGACATGACTGAGTGACTGCACTGAACTGAACTGAATGTGATAGAAACTTCCCTAAAGGGAAGGACAGGGTGGGACGAACTGAGAGAGCAGCACTGAAACATATACATCACCATGTGTAAAATAGACACTTGTTGGGAATTTGCTGCATGAGGCAGGGAGCTCAGACTCAGTGCTCTTGACAACCTAGAGGGATGGGATGGGGTGGGAGAAGGGAGGGAGCTTCCAGAGGAAAGGGACATATGTATACCCATGACTGATTCATGCTGATGTATGACAGAAACTAACATAATATTATAAAGCAATTATCCTCAACTTAATAAAAAATGCCCAAAAGGAGCGACAGATTCCCTCCTGTACACTGACAGCCAGATTGACCGCAGTCTTCTGGACGTCTTAGAACCCACATTTTCAAAGTGCTAAGATAAAATACAGGTTAGCCAGTGAACCTTGCAGTCAGTGATGAAGGTAAAATCATGACGTTTCCCAGACAAACACTGAAAGAATCTACCAAGGCGAGGCTCACAGCCAGAACTCAGCAAGGACATTAGGCCAGGTAGCAGCCATCGTGCATGACCACATCCCACACACACATCCCTGGCTTCTCAGGCTCGGGACCACCAGCACCCAGGAGTCCCATTGCTGCACCTGCTGCCTTCTGCCTGAGAGCAGCCTGCATGTGGCAGGACGTGGTGCCCTGGACCAGCCTTCCGATGACCCAGAGGAGTGGGTAATACCAGGCTCCTCTCCTTGCAGGGGGCCCTTTGTGGGGTGCTCTGGGCAATTTCCAGGGGCCCCATCAGGCCGAGCCCCAGTTGCCCAAACTGTGCCTTCAGACACCCTGTCTTAGCCTCCTCCCTTCCCCCTCTCAGGCTCCTGTTCCCCTATCCTATGCCCAGGGATCACCTCCACAGATAAGCTGCGTGTGCTCCAACACTTGTCTTAGGGACAGATGGGATCTCAACTGGAGACCCGGCACTGGAACAGGTCCTACGAGGCTGACTTTCAGGACAGGGCCTCATTGCTGGAGGGGCGTGGGGCAGCGTAACTCTGGTGAGTCCAGGCATCGCAGTTACTAAATTGGCATCTGAGGTGGGTGGACGCAGCGCAAAGAGGAATCGAGCCCTCTGCGTAGGGTGGGGCTCCAGTGCTCGGAGGGGCTTCCCTGGTTGCTCAGGGTGAAGAATCCGTGTGCACTGCAGCACAGGAGACCCGGGTTCGATCCGTGGGTCAGGAAGATCCCCTGGAGAAGGAAATGGCAAGCCACTCCAGTATTCTTGCCTGGAGAATCCCATGGACAGAGGAGCCTGGTAGGCTACAGTCCATGGGGTCGCAGAGAGTTGGACATGACTTAGCAACTAAACCACCACCACCAGTGCCTGGAAGACGGGGCGCAAAGGGCAATTTTAAGGAGAATGGAGTTGATTTTGCGGTTATTGGCTGCAGCAGAAGCTCTGGAAGAAAGAAAACAAAAGGCTAACCGGCTAGAGGATGCCTGGGGCCATGCAAAAGGCCACACTGGAAAACAGCCTGGGCTTCTGTGGTTGGAGGGCAAACTGTCCTGAAAAATCAGCGTGACCTTTGAGCGCAGCGGGCTGTTACCAGGGAAGCTGACTTCCTCCAGCAAATTTCTGCTGCTAAAGGCAAGGGCCTGGGCGGGGAGGAAGGGGTCCTGAGTGCAGAGGGTGCTGAGAAAGTGTGCCCAGAACCTCAGCCTCTGCGGTCTCCTGAGAGGAGGGTCGTCGCCCGGGCAGGAGGAGGGGCCTCGGAGGCCTCAGCTGGGATGGTGGCCCCCTTGCCCAGCTCAGGCCCCCATCGCCTGCCCTCTTGGCTTCTCGAGTGAAGCTCAGCCCCACGTGTGGGCCGGGCGGCGGGCTGACAGCTCCCGCGGCAGGAGTTGGTTCCCTGGTTCCGGCAGAGCAGCAGCAGAGGAGGTGTGTGCGCAGGGGTGGGAGCGCGGTCTTCTCCTGCGGCTCGGGCTCCTGGCAAGGACAGTGGAAGCCAGAACTGTGGACCCCAGAACTTCCCCTGGAAATGTGGAGACAGTGGCCGGCAGTGGACGACGGACGGGCCAGACTTGCCATGGCTCCCAGAGGGAGACAAGCTAGAAATGATCCAGGAGGCTCTGAATCTCAGGGCCACAGGGCACTCTTCCTCCCACCCCAAGTCTCTCCCGCGGGGCTCTGGGTTTGCAGGCCCGCCTGTGGTGTTTGCCCAGTTCCTTTCACAGGACCCGGTAAGGTTTGTTTCTAGGCTTAGTATGTGGCCATCGCCAGAGTTCATAAGTGTTCCGTATATGCCCAAAAAGAAATGTTTGCTGATTTAGGAGTGCAGAATTCTTTCCATACATGAACTTGAATTGAAGCTTGGGATGGACATACCTTGAAGATGACAGAGCCCTTCCCTTGGTTCCCTGACCTGTGGAATAACAGTCATGGTTGGAAAGGCCATGGGGAAGCCCTTTCACGAGCCTCCCGGCTCTCTGCCCCTGCCCCTGCCCCCTACTCGGGCCAAGGCCATGCATCAGCTGAAAAGAAAATTCTGGGCAAGAAATTGCAGATGTGTGAGTGAGTGAATGCAGGTGTGCGCTGTAGCAAACCAGGATATGAACTAAAATGATGGATGCTCTCCAGTGCTGCCTAGTGCGGGAGCTGGAAAGGCAGCAGGAGACACTGCAGTTCGGGCATTTCAGCATCCTGGTGTTGTCTGAGGGGTTGAACTTCAGATTTTCTTAGGTAAAAGTATTTGTTACAAGATTTGAAGAAAACACATAAAGACTTGAAAAGAATATACCACTTCCATGGCAGTAGAGTTGGGATGCTGTGGGTGAGGCGAGAAAAGAAGAAAACGGGGGGAAAAATCAGTCCAATAGAAATTAAGAAGAATAAAAGAATCATGGGAAGAGCAAGTTTAATAGAAAACCCAGAATAACACTGGGAACAAGTCCAAATATATCAGTTATTACAACAAACGTAAACAGACTAAATTTTCCAATTAAAGATAGGTTGTCAGATTGGGTTTAAAAATGTGATCCGTCTCCCAGATGTTTTCAAGTGGTGGCCCTAAGCATGAAAATGCTAAAAACTAAGAGTCGGCAGAGGCAAAAAATGATGTTCTGGGCCAACACTGATCAAAAGAAGTGCCTGTTACTACAGTATCAGTTAAATTGACTCTAAGGGAAGAATGCATTAGTGATCAAAGTGGCCACTGCATAATGGCAAGAGGGTCATTCTTCAGGGAGATTATCAGTTTAAATGTTTTTCCATCTAGTAATAATAACCTTCAAACAATATAAAGCAGAGTTTCCCTGTGGCTCAGACAGTAAGGAATCTGCCTGCAGTGCAGAAGACCCTGATTCAGTCTCTGATTGGGAAGACCCTCTGGAGAAGGGAATGGCTACTCTCTCCAGTATTCTTACTTGTCCTCCACAGACAGAGGACCCTGGCAGATGACAGTCCACAGAGTTGCAAAGATTCAGATACAACTGAGCGACTTTGATTCATACAATAATACCCTCCAAAAATATAAAGCAACAATTTTCAAAGTTCCTAGGAGAAACTTGTAAACTCACAGTAGTGGAGAAAAATGGTCTTTTAATAACCTAAATGCAACTTCTGATATACAAAGGCAAAGGAGAAAAGGAAAGATATACCCATCTGAATGCAGAGTTCCAAAGAATAGAAAGGAGAGATAGGAAAGCATTCTTCAGTGATCAATGCAAAGAAATAGAGGAAAAGAATAAAATGGGAAAAACTAGAGATGTCTTCAAGAAAATTAGAGATGCCAAGGGAACATTTCATGCAAAGATGAGCATGATGAAGGACAGAAATGGTATGGACCTAAGAGAAGCAGAAGATATTAAGAGGAGGTGGCAAGAATACACAGAAGAACTATACAAAAAAGATCTTAATGACCCAGATAACCACGATGGTTATCATGACCTAGAGCCAGACATCCTGGAATGCAAAGTCAAGTGGATCTTAGGAAGCATCACTATGAACAAAGCTAGCGGAGATGATGAAATTCCAGCTGCTCTATTTCAGATCCTAAAAGATGATGCTGCGAAAGTGCTGCACTCAGTATGCCAGCAAATTTGGAAAACTCAGCAGTGGCCACAGGACTGGAAAAGGTCAGTTTTCATCCCAATCCCAAAGAAAGGCAATGCCAAAGAATGCTCAAACTACCACACAATTGCATTCATCTCATGCTAGCAAAGTAATGCTCAAAATTCTCCAAGTGAGGCTTCAAGAGTATGTGAACAGAGAACTTCCAGATGTTCGAGCTGGATTTAGAAAAGATAGAGAGCCAGAGATCAAGTTGCCAACATTTGTTGGGCCATAGAAAAAGCAAGACAGAATTCCAGAAAAACATCTATTTCTGCTTTATTGACTATGCCAAAGCCTTTGACTGTGTGGATCACAATAAACTGTGGAAAATTCTGAAAGAGATGGGAATACCAGACCACCTGACCTGCCTCTCGAGAAACCTGTATGCAGGTTAGGAAGCAATAGTTAGAACTGGACATGGAACAACAGACTGATTCCAAATAGGAAAAGGAGTAAGTCAAGGCTGTATATTGTCACCCTGCTTGTTTAACTTATACGCAGAGTACATCATGAGAAATGCTGGGCTGGAGGAAGCACAAGCTGGGATCAAGATTGCTGGGAGAAATATCAACAACCTCAGATATGCAGATGACACCACCCTTGTGACAAAAAGCAAGGAGGAACTAAAGAGCTTCTTGATGAAAGTGAAAGAGGAGAGTGAAAAAGCTGGCTTAAAACTCAATAGTCAGAAAACTAAGATCATGGCATCCAGTCCCATTACCTCATGGCAAATAGATGGGGAAACAATGGAAACGGTGACAGACTTTATTTTCTTGGGCTCCAAAATCACTGCAGATGGTGATGGAAGCCATGAAATTAAAAGATGCTTGCTCCTCAGAAGAAAAGCTATGGCCAACATAGACATATTAAAGAGCAGTGATATAAGTTTGCCAACAAAGGTCCATCTAGTCAAAGCTTTGGTTTTTCCAGTAGTCAAGTGTGCATGTGAGAGTTGGACTATAAGAAAGCTGAGTGTCGAAGAATTGATGCTTTTGAACTGTGGTGTTGGAGAAGACTCTTGAGAGTCTCTTGGACTGCAAGGAGATCCACCCAGTCCATCCTAAAGGAAATCAGTCCTGGACTAATGCTGAAGCTGAAACTCCAATACTTTGGCCAACTGATGTGAAGAGCTGACTCATTTGAAAAGACCCTGATGCAGGGAAAGATTGAAGGCAGGAGGAGAAGGGGATGACAGAGGATGAGATGGTTGGATGGCATCATCGACTCAGTGGACATGAGTTTGAGCAAGCCCTGGGAGTTGGTGATGGACAGGGAAGCCTGGCATGCTGCAGTCCATGGGGTCGCAAAGAGTCAGACATGACTGAGCAATTGAACTGAACTGATACAAGTTTTGCATAATAAAATTAGTAAGTTTATACAAATGCCATAGCAAAGGAATTCTGCCTTCCTAAATTAGTAAGCATATTCTTTTCAGGTACATGTAGAACACTGGCCGTGGCCACACATTAGGCTACGTAGCAAATTTCAGCAAGTTCCAAAGAACCAGCCACATAGACCACCTTCTTTTATACAATGTTATTGAGTTAGAAACCAATTACTAAAAGATAACTCCAAGAACATCTATAAGCAAACTATTAGAACTAGTAGGAGAACTTGATAAGATTGCTGGATATGAGATCTACTTATCAAACTTAACTGTGTCTCCATATACCAGGTAGAAAGAAACACTCAAAACTGTAAGGAAAGTTCCATTTATAAAGCAAAACCCTTATGATTCCTAGGCATATATCCAGCAAAATGTGCCTAATGTATCTATGGAAACATGTGAAACTTAATTGAAAAACATCTAATAAGGACCCAGATAACTGGAGATGTACACCAAATTTCATCAGTTCTGAAACATGCATTTTTTCTTGTTTTTGACATCTCAAAAATCAGATATGTCTTTAAATTAATGGTCCCTTATTCTGTGTCATAGGTAACAGATCAATTGGCAGCACTTCTTCTTTCTGTGCAGCACATAAAATAATAATGTATCTTCCACTCAATGACCTCTTGGATTCAATTTAAGTAGGTACCATGTCAATGGATGGAAAGACTGCAAATTGTATGGCTCCTCTTGTCAGGGTCTTTTGTAACTTAAGAGCAATTTTTGGCGAGTGGCTTCTGAAAATCATTGAATAGCAAAAACCTGAGAACAGGCAAGGCAATATTGATAAATACATGATGGTGGAGGAAGGTGTATTTACCAGGTGTCATGATCTCGTCTAAACTTTGGGGATTCAACCACGTGGTGCTGGCTGGGAGGGGATAGAGCTGTGTAACAGAGTGGAGTCCAGACAGTGACACACGGGCTGTAGAAATTTGATCTCTGGCAGCAATTGCATTACCGAGGAGTGGAGAAAGACTACTGAATAATTGATGATTGGACAATTGGTTAACCATGCTAAAAAAAAGATGCAATTCTTATCTCACACCCAAAAATTAAACTTGGCAGAAAAAAAATCTATATGTGAAAAGCAAAACTTTAAAGTTTTAGCAGTAAATGTGGGACAGTTTTGTAATTCATGGAAGGATTTTATATATATATATATATATATATATATATATATATAAAGATTTCTTCTCTAGGACACATAAAAAAGCATAAACCGTAACAGAAAATATCAACAAATTTGGCATCATCACTAACCATGAGGGAAATGCAAATTAAACCACGATGAGGAACCACTTCACACCTCTCTGAGTGGTGAGTGAAAATCAGTGAAGATAATAAGCACTGGCGAGGATGCTCAGCAATTACAACCCTCACAAACGGCTGGTGGGGACGCAAAATGTTACAGCCACTCTGAAAAGTTGCTTGGCAGTTATTTCTCCAAAGATAAACATATACCTACCATGTGACCCAGCAACCCTGCTTTTAGGTATTTCCCCTAGAGACATGAAAGTGATGCTCCCATGAAGATCTATGCCTGTGTGATGCTCACTTGAAAATCTCTGCATGCTTGCTTATAGCA